AGAGTTTCATCAAAGTAACATGTAAATTTATTAGCTTAATCTGAAAAACTCACACGAAGAAAAAAGACAATTAAAATAAATTTATTGATACAATTACTTTGTCTTTGGCGCTCAAACCTTGACAGGAAACATAGCGCTGAATTTTAATAGATATGCATGAACAGGAGCAAAGAATAGGGCTGTTTCCCTCCCAGGCCTGAATCTGGTGGTGGAGTGGAGATAGATGAAGTTGGTCAGTCTGTAGACTGAGAGACGGTCTGCTGAGCTTTATGAGGAGATCCAGTGGACTGCGTGAGCTGATACTAGAGCTTCACTCAGGGACATGGAATATGAAAGTCCAGTTTGGATAACACAGGTTGAGAGAACCTGTCCATGATGAGCAAGTATGAAGTGACAGTGGAGAGGAAAAACTCCCAGTTGGGAAGAAACCTCTGACAGAACCAGGCTCAACATGGCGGTCTTCTCACAGACCGGTTGAAATGAGATGCGGAATGCAGTAAGAGTCTGAGAGTAATGAAACGCTGTTGAAATTTTAGCTACTATGGTGGAGGACGGGCTGGAGGTGGGTTGAAACGGGGTCATCTGAATGAAGTCACACAGAGCAACCACCGCCTGCGCACAGGAGTAGACAAGTGTGCATCGGAGGCCTTTTAAGATGAACTTTGGATGCTGATTGGCTTTCGTGGAGGCGTGTTTCAAAGCCGATTGGCTGTGTCATAGGTGAATGTAGGAGAGCAATCAGTTTCTTCAGTTGAACTTCTGCCTAGGCTCCATTTCCAAATTAGTTCAAATATAAACTCTCTTTAGCCTCCATGCTCCTTGAAAGTTCTGTAAAATTACGTTTTAGGTTTTGTGAACATGACCTTTAAGTTCCAGAAAGTTTCAAAGAGTTGATGTTGCCTGCAGGCACCAAGGGGCCTTCAAGGACCACATTGGGTCCCCTTAGCAGAACAACTCACCAATGGGCTGGCTATGAAATTTTATTAAATTCTGTTGCGCCTCTTTTTAATAATTTATAGAGCAATTCATCATATTAATAATATAGAACATTTATAGAGATTTCAAAATGACAATATCTAAAAGAATATTAGAAATTATAAGAAACAATAAAATTACGTTTACTTTAGAAAAAGTTTAGGTGAACGCTGACCCCTCCAGTTCATAGGTCAGTATTGATAACCTTTCCTCTGACTCAGTGACCATAAAGTAGCTCTAAGCCTTAAAAAGGTTGCTTTACAATAATCATTTATAAATAGTAGAGACCATTTATAAAGATATTACGTCCACTGATGTTAGGGTTTGTGCTAAACTAACGTGGCAGGACAATATGAGCTATTTCCCATTTATAAGGGATTTAGATGCAGCTACTAAATTATTGTCAAACATTAATAAACTATCTGTAAATTCTTAATAAATGGTCTCTTTACCATTTAGAAATAATGGTTATTAAAAATTCTTACCAAGGTTCCCTATAGATTTCTAAAACTTCCAATGACAACATGTTTTAGGTTTTAGTAAAACCAAATTGTATAATCCAAAATGTTCCGGAACTGTATGTTTAAGTTCTGTTACTGTTTGAGTAAAAGTTTTGAAGGAAGGAACCCTGTGAAAGAAATGTAAAAGTTCTAGGAAAGTAACGTGTAAATTGCTCCAAACTACCTTCTGAGTTAGTTGAAAGTGCTCTGTAAGTTCAGTAAAAGTTAACTATAAGCTCCATTAAAGTAGTTTGTTTGTTCTACTGTGGTAGAAGGGGCGGAGCTAGATGGGGGACCAGAGGTGGCCATGGCCACCCTTAGCCAATCATTGGCTACTCCCTGTGGCCGCCCCTACCATTTTTTTCCCTCTCAAATTCAGACGGTGGAAGTGGAATATTCAGAACATTTTAATTTTTCATATATTAACAATTACTTGACAACACAAACAATGTGGTTAATTATGCACATCAATATATTAACATTAAAGATGATAAGCACAGAATCCATGCTCTTCTCAGAACTAGATTTTGTGTTATTGGGTGAAGATAAAATCATGTGTCTCTGAAAGTCATTTAGGAGTCTTGAGTGAACTCATAGATAAATAACTATTTTAATAAAAACATAATAATCAATTTATGTATATATTAGTTCTTGTAAATATCAAGGTTATGCAAAATAATTGTTGATAAAAGTAGGTAAGTAATGACAAAGGAAGAGATGTTCACCCCAGAACTCACACCTGAGAGAATTGTATCCACTATACCTTTTATCTAGAAAGCACAAATGTTTAAATATATGCGTCTATTTGTTAGCAAGGCTGTAGGAAAGTAGAGTTTGTGATTTTCTGGATTTTCCTCTGCGTGGAAGTAAACTTTTTATGTCATTAAGTAACCTGTAAGTTCAGGGAAACTAAACTATACATTTCAGAAAAATTCAGAAAACCTTCCTATAGGTCTTGAATTCCATTAAAGTAACCTGTAGATTCCTTAAAGTTAGTTTGGATGTAAGCTTTTGGTTATGTGAAAGTCTGCGGGTTCCAAATGGTTACACTGCGCATTAATTAAAAGTAACATGTGAGGTTGGTAAAAGTAATTAAGTAAGTGTTGTGAAGGAAGCTTTTATTTCTGTAAAACTATTAGAAGTTCTTGGAGAGTAAGTTCCATTTCCAGGAAAGCACCCTGTAGGTTTCAGGAAACTTCAGAATAAATTTTTAGTTGCTTGAAGTCTCAACAGAGGCCTTTCTTTTGTTTCTCAGAGCACTTTGAAGAAGAGGAGTATCAGATCGACAGTCAGTAAAGCAGAGAAGAGGCTTTCTCAGCAGATGGAGGTTTGACATTTTCAACTATTTCTTTATAACCTTTAAAAGATTTGTTGAGTTTGTGACGGTCTTTAATGTCTCTTTAAAGGATGACAGCACTGATCTGAAATGTCAGCTCCACTTTGCCAAAGAAGAGCTGACTCTCATGTGCAAGAAGCTGACCAAGCTGGTGTCAGAGAGTGAGGCCATGCATGAGGAACTGTCCAGATATCGGTCAAGGTACGGAGATGTAGAAGCCGCTCAGCTGCCTGAAGGCATGCAAAGCTCTGCCCATACAAGGGAGGCAGAGGTCAAAGTTCATTTGAAACTTGTGGAAGAAGAGGCAACGCTCCTGAGTCGGCGCATCGTCGAGCTGGAGGTGGAGAACCGCGGTTTGCGAGCGGAGATGTGTGACCTTAGGGAGAGAAAAGGAGGAGGTGAGGAAGATGGTTCGGATGAAAGTCCGTCACTGACAGCAACGGTAAAGGATGGAGAAATGGGACCAATGACGTACCTGCAGCATCAGGGAGAGGGACTAGAGGAAAGACAAGGGGACTCTGAGAGACATTTGCACTGCAGCCCCTTACAGACGGAGAAGAGGTTGAGTGAAGGTCGAGAAGGTCCGGTGGGCGGCGAGCAGGACCCTTCAGAAAGCCAGGAGAGAGAGGATGAGAGAAAACACAACAGCACACTTAAAGAGAAGACTATCAAAGACTATGAATTCCTTGTTGCTCTCAGAGATCACGCCTGCATTTTATCTTCAGCCATTCAACTTCTGTCAGTGCAACCCAGAAACGGAAACAGCTCTCCTCCCTCATTTGTTCTTACACCTGAGATGGAGATAAGCCCCAACTTAAAGGCCCAGGGGTCTTTAATCGAGGCAGTGGAGCTTCTGCAGGCCATGCTAGTCTCTTTCATTGAGAAGATGGAGACTCTTCTGAGGGATGATGATGAATGCAAGGACTCTGTTAAAAAGGAGGGACTCGCTTACGATTTCTCCTCCTTCCTCTGTGCAAACCATGGACGTCTCAAAGAGTTGCATGGAGAAGAACTCTGCACCATGCGGGTTAAACCGAAAACAAAACAGACGAGTCCAGCGGAAGTCATGGATAGCTGGAAGGATCCAAACCTGCAGCTGTCGTTACAGATTCTATGGATCCTACATCAGTGGTGCAACGCTAAAGGAACAAACCCCGAAGGAAAGGAGGTACTTTGACATATGGAGCAAACATATTTACACATTTTAAACTCATATAGCAGAAAAATAGTGAGTATTCATGTCATAGAAGAACAAAAAGTAAAGCACATCTGCAGGGTTTTGGTGTATATCACTACTAGCTTTATGCACCCTGAGAATAACGTTCTGTCTCAGTCGGAGTAGGTCTGGATTCTAATACATGAATATGCTTTGATCAGATTCATCCTGTATATTTAGATTTGCTGGAAGGTGAACATAAGCCACTCTTCCACTACCAGTTGTCCTCCCACCCTGAGCTGCTTTTCTAGGCAGCTCCTTCTGAGCTTTCATGGGTGTTTGGCTGCTTTTGCCCGATCTATTAGTTTTGGTCAATGGCCAAAACTTGGTATGTTAAGTTATGCTTTCTTTGTTGTAAGATAGATTGTTGCATGTTCCGCGTTTGTTCACTAATGTTCTCTAACAACCATATGAGGTCTTCACAGAACATTTGCATTCCCAAGTTAGACTAAACACAGGTGACTTCAGAAGGCAGCTGGTTTCACTGGATTTTATTTAGTGGCATCAAATTAAAAAGGCTGAAAAGAAAAATCTATGCTGCTCTTCTCAGATTTTCCCCACTGAAATTCAATGGTTTAAAATAAGAATGTGCAGATACTTTGTTACCTTACTTATGTAGAAAGTTTGGCTATCTAAACTTTTCTGACTTTTTACTTCTACTCCTTAAATGTTTTTGCAATTATCTTTACTTTGTACTCCTTACATTTAAAAGATAGACCCACTAGTTTTTTTTCAATTAAACCCAAGTTCCCTAAGGCCCGGTGGGAATGAAAAAAAAATAAAAACCAATGAAATAATAAGTTTTATTCAGACAATTAATTTATTTGTGGTTGGACTCGGTGCTGCACCAATTTGTTGTTTACCACATACCAAAGTAAATAGTTTTTCTACATGATGGAAAGTTATTTTTAACGCTTTTGCTGTTAGTTTTAAACCTAAGACAATTAAGTAGCCTATAAAGAAATTATCATCCAAAATTGTAGAAAAATGTTCCTTCAATAGGCTCGTGAAGTAAAGCATTCGTCCTTAATATTTTTCCTGAATTATTTTTTACTTTTATACTTTAAATAGTTTTAAAACTGGTACTTTTACAATTTTACTTAAGTAAAAGCATAGGTTGAAACTCTTAACTTCTGGAAAAGTGTTTTTTAAACAGTAGGATGCCTATTTATACTTGAGTAATAAAGATTATTACTTTTGACACCTCTGCTTAAATGTGTTAAACTCTGTCTAACTTTCATTTCATTTATTAAACAGACAAAGAATAATTTGTGTCAATATATCACATAAATCCATCTGATTAATGTGATAAAAATAGTTTAAACATTAATACTTTATCCCTTCTGACATTTGCTGCTGCGTCTTCATGGCACCGCTGCTCACCTAGTCTGTTGATTATTTGATAAGAACCTCTTAATTGTTTTTTTTTTGGGTTTGTTTTTATCTTCAGAGTAGAGATAAAACCCTGTCTGTGCTACTTGGGTTGCTTCAGGACCTGAGTGCAGAGCTTCGAGAGGACAGCAAGGCGAAGGCGGCTCCCTGCGAAGAGGCAGCTGAGGTAACGATGCCGTTTACCCCTCAGACTCCCATCTTCCCGCTGTGTGTCAGGCTGTCTGACACAGTGGGAAGTCCTCCCGATGATCTCGGTCTCTCTGCCGCTATGAGGAGACTTGTGCCAAAGTATTTGGGGTAATCTCTTGTAGGAGCTGCAGCCAACCAGGACAGGCTTTTTCAGATCTATTCCCTGTACAGCTGATTTTCTCCGTCTTCTCCAAATCTAGCTTCACCAAATTAATTTTCAAACCCAAATGGACAAATACTGAATATATCTTTATTGCATATCATTATTGCCGTTAAAAAATTTCACATTGTTAGATGTTCTTTCTTATTCCTCAGAATAGACTGTAAATCCCGTAAGAGATCATTTAGTCTGCAGTAATATGAAGGACTTTATAGGCGTGCCAGGAGCTTTATGTGGCAGAGCTTCAACTGCAACTTCAGTAAGATAACATGCTGATAGTTTGACTTATCTCCATTTATTACTTTTAAGATTTAAATCTGCTTCCTGATTAGTGGCTCCACAGGGAGGATGCAAAGAATAAAAAATAAAAAAGTGTGGTACACTTCAGGAACCAGTTTGGCTAAAATTACCTATTATTTATTATTTTAGAATTAATACAAACATATTTGCAAATTGATGCTCATAACATGTGGGCTGTTCATAACAACATGGCTGCTGGGACTATAATAAAGGAGGTGGTAACAAGATCAAGCGAATGCTGCATGGACCACCATTTATGTTCCAACATAAAAGGTAGAACGGACAGTGGATCTTAACAAGTGGAAAAAAGTTAATTTGTAAGAATAACCCTCAAGTTTAACCAAAGGAGGGTGAACAAATCCTACCAAAGATAAATAAAGGGTCATGAGATTAGCTCTATAGTTAAGCTTCTGTGTTTTCACAACAAAACTTTTTACTGTAACCTTCACAGACCCTAAAAGGGAGCAGATAAATGTAGTCTAGTATTGTTACAAATACCAATATATCTCGATGATTTATCTGGATCCTAGAGATGTTTGCTTGAAGTGTATTAATGCATGCCGGGCCAGAAAGCAGAAAAAAGCTGAGAGAGAGAATGTGATGTAAGAGCAGCACATCTTAGGAGAAGAAGGAGGAGAAAGAGAAGAGGAGTAAAAGCTCTTGTAAAACTGAGTGGAAAACTGAAGAGGTGCAGGCGAGCCACATGAGACAGACCCTCTTCTACATGCTTTTTTTTTTTTTTTGATTAGCACCGTACTGGAGCCATCTGCCTCTGAAATAATCCGATGCAACTGCAAAACTGAAAAAAAATCTCAGTGTAAAGCAAACCAGACCAATTGAAGGGTCCCTGGACAGACCCCTGGACCGATCCCTGTACCGATCACTGGATCGGTCACTGGACTGATCCCTAGACCAATCCCTACACTGATCCCTGAACCGATCCCTTGAGTGAACCAGCATTTTGAATACACCCCAAGTTAGTTACGTGGTTTCCAGAGTTTGGAGGACGTGTTCCTCCTATTCAGTGGCAGCCCAGAGCTTGGAATCCTGACCGCTTGCTCACAGTGGCTCCGTTGCGGTTACCGAGCCGACGGAGACCGCAACTCCCGCACACTCCCTCTCACACAGCCCTTTTGACTACGGTGCGGTGCGGCTCTGGC